TGAGGAAGAGATCAGTGCATAGAAGGTAAATTCTGCAACTTCATCAAAGCCATAAACTGACCTGGATGGTGTATCTTGAAATTCTGCAGCCAGGAGTGCCAGATGGTTTCAACAGACGCACTGGACACACATATAATAAATATGTCTGGGTTTTTTCTTTTTTCTTTCTCTTTTTTTTTTTTTTTCCAGTTTGTTTCCTGGACGGACAGCTCAAAAATAGGGCTGCCCCATCCAAATCCAGACACCTGGCATTGCCAGCGGTGACTTCCACTGATTGCCAGCAGTTTCCTCTTTGGTCAGCAGAAGCATAAACAGCCACACCCTTTGCAAACGCCACCTCTGCTGCAGCTGCCTTCCAAATTTCCAAGGCGAACCCAGTCCTGGAGCTTTTGTCCAGGGTGGGGTGGGGTTTCTGACAAGAATCATCCCCATTCTCGGGGTGGTCGCTATGCAGTAGGCACCCCTGAGACATCAGAGCTCACCGTTGCCCTCCAGGGCAGCTCTTACTGTGGACCTGTGTTAGAGAGGAGAACACAGGCTCTGAAAGGAACCTGAGCTCTCAGATGGGAGGTTCAAGCTCAGCCTGGGCAACCAAGCAACTCAGCAAGACCCCGGGTCAAAAAAAAAATTAATAAGGGCTGGGAATGTAATTCAAGCAAAGACATGGATTCGATCCACAGTACCACAAAAAAAGAAAAATGAAAGGAGTGGGTAAAGAAAGGGACAGGCAAGGAAAGGAAAAGAAAAGGAAAAAGTAATATAAGCAAGGTCCCTGTATGGACTTAAGATGTAGGTTAGCCAGGGCATCAAGTAACAACTAGCACTGAATTCTTTAAAATAGAAGCGTCTCTGTCACATTACGTCTGGACATCAACAACCTAACGTAAGTGTGGCTCCCTCCAGCCTGTGGCTCCAGCATCCTCACTATGGATGCCAAGGTGGTGGCTTGCGTGCCACAAACTGACCAGCGGAGGGAGAAAAGCAGAAGGGAAGGGAATGCCTGGTCCTTCCAAGGACTGAGACCAGAGGCTTCAGGCATCGCTTCTGCTCTCACCTCACTGGCCAAAGCTGCCACCCTGAGTATCTGATCCCAAATCCGTGCCAGGCTGCCTCTCGCCTCTTGGGTGCTGCCAGAAGGCTGTGGGAAATTCGTTTCCCTGTGGAGAAAATGGGGGCTTTGGTTTTGGCCCTGTGCGAGGCTAATTTAAATATCCAAATGTGATGTGGAGTGAGCAATAAACACACAGTCCTGGGGTTGGAGGGAAATAGAAATATAGACATAGTAAGGACACACAAGATGGCTAAAGCCCAAGCTGGATAAGATCACCCAGGGCTGGGTATAAATGGAGCAGAAAACAAGGGAGAAGCCCTGGACAGCAGTGTTCAGAGCCAGGCCGCAGTGAGCGATGCTGGGACAGGTGTGAGAGCCATTTCCTCTGTTCGCTGAGTCTCCCTGGCTCCTTGAAGAGGACAGGATGTATCGATGGACACCCCCGCACCCCACAAAGTTCCCAGTCCTGGCTCCAATCCTTCAGAGTCTGAACCATGGCTTCCTTCCCTGTTAAATAGGGACATTAAGCACTCCGCTTTCAGCCAGGCAGGTATAGTGGTGAATCTCATAAATATAGAATCTCATAGGTATAGAGTGCAATCTCAGCTACTCAGGAGGCTGAGGCAGGAGGATTACAAGCTCAAGTCCTGCCTGGGCAATTTAGCAAGAACCTGCCTCAAAATAAAAAATATCAAGGGCAGGGAGTACAACCCAGTGGTTTGCTCCTTGGTACCAGGAAAAAAAAATAAAAAGAGAGAAAAGAACTCTTCTCTGCCAGGTTTCCAAGGGAGGGTAAGGATACAACAATGTATTACAGATCTCAAAATGCTTGAAAAAAATGAAAAGGAGTGGCCTTCCCTGACACGCAACCTCAGGTCCTCCAAAATGTGAAACTGATGTGGAAAGGAAATCGGATGTAATTCACAGAAGACATAAAGAGAAGTGACAGATGGGAAAGAGCCACACACAGCTCCACGCAACGACGCTGAATTCTGAAAACATCAAATTGAGCTAAGGAAGCCAGACACAGGGCACATTATGTGTGACTCCACTCACGGAGCTCGGGGCGGGTGATACGAAATTGTGGCCCCTGGGGTGCACGCTGCGGGGGTCAGAGCCATCTAGAAACTGCTCAGACCAAGGCACTGGTTTCCTCCTGGAGTCGAGGAAGTCTGGGATGTGGATGAGCCCTTTGGGGGTTTTTGATGTTCTACTTCTAAACCCACATGGTGTTTCACGGGGCTTTACTTTATAATAACTCTTCAGGTTTTATATTTTTATCTTTAGCACTTTTCTCTCTGTTCACACTGTTTGCCAATGTTAAAATGCACAGAAAGCCTTACAATAAATATGACCCACCTTCTCCTTCATACCCTTATGACTGAGTTATTTTCACCACAGTAATCTAAACTACAAAAACAACTGCACACCCAGGCACACTCCGATGTAGGAAGATGTTCGTTGGAACATCGTGACGGAGCCAGGCACAGAGGTGCACGCCTGTGACCCCAGCACCTGACAGGATGAAGCAGGAAAATTATCACAAGTTTGAGGCCAGCCTGAGCTACACAGTGAGACTGTCTGAAGAGGGGCAGGAGGGATAGCTCAGGAGTGCTGTGCCTGTCTCGCAAGCACAAGATCCCAAGTTCGATCCCCACTACCAAATGGGCGGGGGAGAGAAAAAGCCTCACGGCTGAAAGAAGCTGTGTTCTCACTAGTAACAAACAGTTAAATACTCTGCAGGATAGCTACAATGTGGAAAATTATTTAGCCATTGGAAAGTCTGCTCAAAGAATTTGAGGGGAACAGGAAAAATGCACATGACATGAAAAAGCAGGGAGGAAGAAAGCAGAACATAAATTATATGTACCAAGTATGTTATTCTAATACATAGATTATATGTTGACTGTGGCCCCAATATTGTCAATATCTGTTGTATATTCATGAAAAAAACAGACCGAAACCCCAAATGTATACAAACAATAAGGGTAGTTATATCTGCGGAGTGGGAATATGAGTGCTCATTTTCTTCCTTATATCTCTTTTACCTTTCCCAAATTATCTACAGTGGGTATGGATAATGCTTACTCATTACCACAGGATTGGGGGGAGCGCTGGGGAGGGACCTGCTGTTGGGGGAGAGAGTGGGGCAAAGGCTCCCTGCCTCCTTCAGGTGCACCTCAGCTGCTCCAGGGTGTTCGGGCCATGGTGCACAGACACAGCAGCCCTGCACTGTGGCCTTGGTTTTGTTTTATTTCCCCTTCTCATTTTTGCCTTCATCACCCGTCTCCAGCGCTCTGACTTCCCTCTCCCCCACAGACACCCACTTGAATGTATTTAAAGTATGTTCTTTCTATCCATCTGCCATACATTTGTTTGGATATATGCGTACCCAAATACACATAGTAAAAAGTACATAAAGCGATAAAGACACAGTGTTTTCTTATGTTTTTCAATTTTTACATACAAGGTACAGAGTCATGCATCTTCCTTTTTTCTCACTTCATTTTTGAGAACATTCCTTGTTGCTCTTTGTAGCTGTGACACCACGCTTGGTGTTCCATGTTTGTATGCACCACCTGGTACAGATTGCTGGCTGTTCCTCAAGTGCAGCCTTTCTCCGACAGGACACATTGCAGGACTACATTTCCCAGACTCCTGTGCAGGTGGGTGGAGCCGCACAACATCATTTTAGCTCCTGGATGCCAGCAGAAAGATGCCTGACCCTCTAAGATTCTGCTCTGAAATCCTTCCCATGCCTTACTCTCTGTCCCTTTCCCTTCTGGCTAACTGGGACCAGAACCCCCCGCACGACCTTGAAAACCATAGTTCAAAGGTGGCAGAGCCACCTCAGCCTGGGTCTGAATGCCTTCAAAGAAGGCAATCAGACACAGACCAAGCTTCCATTGGGTTTCAGTCTCTTTTGTCTATAGGGTCCATTATTACAATGGCTAATATTAACTTTAAGCAAAAAAAAAAATCACATTCTACTCCTCCATTCCCAAGTGTGGGACCCTGCTGCCCCAAGCTCCTAGATGGAATTCAGATGATGAGCAAGATGCTCGAGTTGTCCCCCGGAAGTGGGACGGTGTGGCCTAGGGCGTGTGTGTGTCATGTTCACCTGACCAAAGCAATGGCAGACACGAGTCCCCATGGGGGCAGTGAGGACGGCGAAGGCCCTGGTGTTCAGTTACCCCGAGTCAGCACTGCTGGTGGGTGTGTGCCTGCTCTGGGGGGCTTCAGAGGGGTCAGGGCCAGAGCAGTCCCACACAGGGCTCAGCTCTTGGTGGCACAGTCTCTAAGCCTGGCTTCCTGGGCATCCTTGAGAGTCTGTGAGCTCCCTACACCATTAATAAAAATACCAGAATGAGTCGTATTGTTTACAATTGCAAACTCTTTTTTATATGCCAAATCAGGGGACAACATATTTCTTCTGCAAGGGCCCAGATGGTAAATAATTTTGACCTTGTGAGTCATGCAGTCTCTGATGCAACAACTCAAGTCTGCTGTACAAGTATTAAGACAGCCGAAGACGATATATAAATGAATGGCTGTGGCCCTGTTCCAATAAAACTTTATAAAAACACTGGCCCATAATCTGGTGTTTGCCAATCCCTGAGCTGGAAAACAAAGGGGAGGGGGGAAGAAAATAGACATGGAAGAATCTCCTTTGTTTAAATCTCTGTGTAGGGACTTATTCATTTATTTTTGGCACCAGGGATTAAACTCAGGACCTTGCACTTGTGAAACAGGCAGCAGCATCACTGAGCTAAATCCCCGGCCCTATTTATTTTTAGACAGAGCCTCACTAGGCAGTTCAGGGCGAGGCAGTCCTCCTGCCTCAGCCTCCCAAGTGCTGGAATTACAGGCGTACGTGACCATGCCCACCTCTGAGTAGACGTGTATGCCACATTTCCTGGTCTTAGCGCCTGGGTACTGATTTGTTCGGGTCCACACCGGGCGGTGCCACACAGAGCCTAACACCCTTCCTTGTCTGCCATAGAGTGGTTGGATGAATGCACGAATAAATGAACAGCTTTCATTTAGAGGCAGCTCCGGTGAACAACCCAGGTAAAGAGCAGTCAGAAGAGGAGCCTGCAGTGGACGAATGGTGCCACAGCTCCACTTGCACTGGGGAAGCCCAGTCCCGGACAGAGCATCGTTCTTTGCTCTGCACCTGCTTCACCGAGGCCATCCTGTCTCCTATCACCAGCCGCTGAGTTGGGCTTTATCCCACACCCCTGGTGGGCATCCGTTTAGGGGCCTGGTTGCCAAATATCAAAGCTAGCGAAGAGCAAGGGCAACTGCCAGGGGCTCAGTTCTCCAAAGCAAACTGCTCAGTGACTAATCCATCTTTCGCTCTGGGTGTTTTCATTTGTCCCTGCAGAAATGCGTATGAGTCACAGCTCTTGTTGGAGAATTTTTTCAAATGCATCATTGTGTGTATATCTCTAGCCTGAAGACCTGCAAGGTCCGGGTGCTGTTGGCAGGGGCCTAATGATTTCCGCAACAACAAATGCTGTCAAATGGGGCCCACCAGGACTCCTTCCTCCACACTCGTCAGTAGCCAGCAAATGAAGGAGGGGAGCGAATGGTGTTACTGTCCAATGACGGGTGTGGTACACAGAGCGACTTGGGCATCCACAGACTCACATATATACGCTGTCCTGCCCATGCCTTCCCCTTCCTGAGAGACTCCACCATGAGCAGCCTTCCTCTCAGGAAGCCTTCTTGGTTAATCTGATCAAAAAGACCAGCTCTGAAATCACTGTGATCTGGGCCTCTAATCTACCCCTCTGCAAATCACGTCTCTATCTTGCACTGTATTCCTGCAGCCTTTATGCAAAAAAAAATGTCTCTTCTGCTCCTTTCGATCCACGTGGCGCTTTGTTTGTGGAGCGTGAAGTCATTTCCACATGGGTATGCTGTCTTTCCAGCCCAGTGCGGTGGCTAGGGCCCGCTTGGAAATTAGGAAGAGATGAAGTCAGAGCTCTGTTGGCCTCTCCTGGGCAGAGTGACCTCACCCCTCACGGCCTCTGCTTCCGTGCCTATAAATGGGGACGATGATAATCATAACAGTACAAATGTAGATCAGATTTCCGGAGTCACTCTCAGTACAGGCAAGGGTTTTTATTTTGCTCCTTGCTGTGTCCCCAAGGCATACACCAGAGCCTGCCACCACATCTGTCCTTGCTGTGTTTGAGCGTGTCACCCAGATTCGCCTGTTGGAATCTTAATCTCCAAAGCAACTGTGCTGGGAGGTAGAGGTGAAGGGGGTGATTAGTTAATGAACATTCTGCACTCATGAATGGATTCAGCTCATTAACACTGGGGTGGGGTAGTTATCAAGAATGATTCCTCATAAAAGCAAGTTCAGCCTTCTCTTCCCCGTCTGCCTCTGCCACAGGAGGACACAGTGGAAAGGTCCCCACGGGAGGGAGGCACCATGCTTTCGGATTTCCTAGTGTTTAAAGCCACATAAATCTTTGTTCTTTATAAATTGCACAGTCTCCGGTGTTCTGTTATAGCAACAAAAAACAGACAATGACAGTACTCACCAAACATCTGTTGAATAATTAATAGGGCCAGGGATTTAGCTCAGCGGTTCTGCTGCCTGCCTCACAAGCACAAGGACCCAAATTCAATCCCTGGTACCCCCCCAAAAAAGAATGAATAGATCGTTTCTTATACTTACCTGTCTTAAGACGCTTACCATCTTCCCAGGAAGTCACCTCCAAGGTCAATCTTGACTCCTCCCCCATTACTGTATCCAGAACTCCCATCTCTCAGATGGCTTAGTTTCCATGTCACTCAAGGATGCTTATGATGCAATAGCAGAAACCCAACATAAGTTCAGGCAAAACAGAGAATGTATTGGTCTATCTAAGTAAAAATAGCTAGGTTCAGGCAAAGCTGGATCTCGGTGCTCAGAGGGATAGGCTCTTTGCTGAGATGCCTGCCGCTGATGGCAGGCTTAGGTCACGTGTCAATCACTGTACCTCTGAAGGGCGAGCCTGGGCCACGTGTCTCATACTAGAGGAAAAGAGGGTGGATCTCCCCCAAACTCTGTGGATCAAGAGTGGAACGGGACGGTACCCAAGACTAAGTGGGACCTAGCACTAGAAATAGAGAGGAGATGCTGCAAAGGCCAAAACAAACCCCCCAGGCTCATCGGCCTCCATTCCAACCTGTGCACTCCGTCAGGTTAATCCCTGAAATAGCAGCTATGACCAAGTTATTCCCTTGCTCAAGAACCTTCAGGGGCAGCCTAGCCCTGACTGACACAGCTATAACTTGCACCAGGATAACCAGCCTTCTCCAGTCCGAGGGGTCAGCAAGGAAGCTGTTCTAAGGACCCAGATGGACCATGGGAGGTGTGGCAGTGGGCAGCAAGAACGGGGAGGCAGCTGCAGACCCCAGCGAGACCTCCCACCACACCGAGACTGCTCTCGCCCAGCTCCCTGGTGACATCTCTCTCCTGAGAGCCTGCTTCCTGCAGCAGTGCTGGGTGCTCTGCTCTCTCGCTCCCCACCCCATCTCCTGGCACAGTCACTTTTTCCCGGCCTTACCTGGCAGCCGAAGTGTACTCAGACTTTACCCTCTACATCCACTGGAGATACCACTGGTTACAAACTCCACAATTCCACCTCGAAAAGCCCAGCTCTGGCCACCGTATGCTTCCTAGCTGCAATGGGCAACTCTTGTCTCTGCCAGTCATGGGAAACAGGCATGTGGCACTTTTCTAACCCATAAAACTTGATGGAAGTACTAGAGGCTTCAGAGAAAGTTTTCTTCCAGCTTAAAACAATATCCTTAAAATAGGATACAGGAAAGGAAATTGATTTCTTCTGATCTGTGGGTGTTGCTGTGATAGCACAATGTCTAGAGCTATGGCAGCCATCTTGGACCCACAAGGGGAGACCATGCCAACATGGCGGATAGAATGATGGAACGAACTTGGATCCTCAATATTACTGTTGAGTTGTGAATTAACCAACCCTGCGACTGTCCCAACTTAAAACACATGGCTTAAACCACACTGAGTTTGGTCATCATTTACTAGTTAAGAAAAACCATATGAGGGGTGTATCTTGTACCTGGTAAACTTCCAGAAACACGACTCCTTCCAGAACCTTCCTGTCATGTAACTCCAGACCTATGAGAACTGTTTGAGGTGTGCTTACTTAGGGAAAGACTTCCCAAGGAGGCCGAGAAACACCTCAAAACCATGTCCCAATTTGAACCGATTATCTGCTGTCCCCCGAAAGACCTCCCTTCTCCTTCCTCCACTATGGGAACAATATCCCCATCCATGAGAAATAATCCAGCCTTTCTTCATTGCCACTGGCTCGTTTCACCAGGCTCCTATTTCCTGGGCAAGTAATAAATGCCGGGCATTTTGCTAGATGTAGGAGAACAGACCTGGGTAAGACCAAGTTCCACCCTCTGTGAAAATTATGTTCTGGTCAGCAGCTGAGAAAGAGGTTGTTTCATGGAGAGATAGACATACAATCCCAGGGAAGGTGAGGAGCGAAGGTGGGCACGGAGAGGTAGTAGTTACACTGAGATCTGGACGCTGAGCGATGTGTTGAGGTGTGAGTATGGCTTTCTAGGCATAGGAAATGGCAAGTGCAAAGGCCCTGAGGCTGGACTGAGTGTGCACTATGCCAGGAAGGGTAAGGCCAGTGAGATGCGCGGCGAAGAAGTCAGAAGGGTCCGTGAGAGGTAGATTCCGAGTGAGGCGGGATCCCGTGCAGTGTACAAGAGAAAGAGCTAAACCTCTGCTATACAGGGTCTGACTTGTGAATGGAAGATGGGAGTAAAATAAAAACTATCACGCAAGCTGTTTTATAGTAGACACCATAGAGAGGAGCGCCAGGCACTTTTACACACTTCCCACACTCGACCCTCACAACCCCAGGAGGTTGGCACACTGATCATTCCCGTTTCACAGACGAAGAAACTGAGGCACAGAGAGGCTAAATAACTTGCTGGGGGTCACACAGCCAGTGGATCAGAGCCAGGAGTGTAGGGAAGAGGGGCACTAGCAGAAGCTGTAGGGCAGATCCAGTTAGGGGGTCCAGGGCAGGGGGGTTGGAGCCCTAAGGTAAGAAAAGGAACGGGCAGCCGGCAAGGCGGGCAGCGCCCCGTCCCCCCGACCGACCGCCTCGTCGCGCCCAC